GTTCCAGAAAGGCCCGCAGGCTCTGGCCGGGGCTGTTCCCAGGCTCTGCCTCCCCGCGAGAGGCGGAGAAGCCCCCATTCAGGCGGGACGCATCCCACTGTGCGCTAAGCCGCTTTCTCCCCACTTACACGTTCAGATGCTTTTTGTCCTTCCGGCTTCCCATGGACTCAGGCCAAGTGACAAGTTGGTGCTGTGGACATATGTCGTCGCCATAATGGGAGTGTTGACCCCACGCTCTCTGCCTGCTGGGCCCAGGCAGCTTGCACCCCGCCCTGGTGCTTGGCATGCCCGGTTCTCAGCCGCACAGGCCTCTTTCCAGCTCCCAGAGACACCACACGATCCGGGGCCGCCCCTTCGGATCTCTGCAGATGCTGTCCTGTTGTTTGCCCGGAAGGCCTGCCTGCCTTGCCACTTCTCCGTCTGGCTGTTCCTCAACAAGCATCGTGGCAGGTGCCTTCTGTGAAACTTTCCTAACTCCAGTTTACCACAGAAGAAACTGAGGCACAAAGAGGTAAGTAAGTTAGAAGGGGCCAAGGCCTGGGATTTGCTTGGCGGTCCAGTGGTTAAGGATCCGCCTGCCATTGGAGGGGGTCGTGGGTTCAATCCCTGTTCTGGGAACTCAGATTCCACCTGCCGTGGGGCAACAAAGCCCATGCGCTCTGGAGCCTGCGCCCCATGACTAAGGAAGCCCGCACGCCTCGAGTCCGTGCTCCACAGCAAGAGAAGCCCCCCAAAGGGAAGCCTGTGCGCTGCAACTAGAGAGAGCCCGCAGGCTGCAACAAAGGCCCAGCACGGCCAAAAATGAACAATTAAATTTTTCTAAAAGGGCCAAGGTCAGGCTGTTTGTAAGTCTCAGAGCCAGAGGTTCTACTCCAAGAACACACACCTCCCACTACACCAACTCTGCCTGCGAAGAAGAAACTGGAAGGAAGACATGCTCTCTGCCTTTAAATAGCATAGATGCCTGCCAGGAGGAGCTTCTGCTCCTGGATTGTTCTGGAAGGCAGGAAACAGAAGCCATGGAGGGAAGTTCCAGGAAGACTCTCCAGTTTAAGATTAAGAGGCACTTCTGACAACGTCACTGCTTACCAGCTGTGTGTGTGCGTGCGTGCACGCTCAGTCGGGTCCAACTCTTTGCGACCCTGTGGCGCTGTAGCCCGCCAGGCTCCTCTGTCCATGGGATTCTCCAGGCAAGAATGCTGGAGTGTGTTGCCATTTCCTCCTCCAGGGGATCTTCCTGAACCAGGGACTGAAACTGCGTCTCTTGCATCTCCTGCACTGGCAGGCAGATTCTTTAGCACTGCGCCACCTGGGAGGCCTCTGGCTACCAGTGGTGTAGCCTTGGGTAAGTCACTACAGCTCTCTGAACCTCAACTTCTCCATCAGTAAAATGGAGGTAACAACGCCTTTGCTATTACTCTGCCCAAATCACCTTAACCAGAGCTTGAAACTGCCAGCCCGTAAGCCAAATTCAGCCAACAACTATGACTTAGATTGGCCAGGATTGTATTTTAGAGGTGAGCAAACTTTTAAAAATCAATTTTTCCATAAATGTCAGCACTTCGCAAACCAGAAGTTCTGGCAAAATTGAGCCCAAATCCCCACACAGCAAGATGGTCAAGAGTGGGTAGCACCTGCCTTCTTTATGTTATTATTATTACGCTTTTGGCTGGACCACGTGGCATGCAGGATATTAGTTCCTTGACCAGGGATTGAACCGGTGTCCCCTATATAGTGGCAGTGTGAAATCCTAACCACTGGACCACCAGGCAAGTCCCACTTGCCTTCTTTAGACAAGACATGCACTCTCCTGGGGGCACTGCTGTCTGTCAAATACCCATTCACAACCCGGCCAATTCATGGGTCTAGGGTCTCTGGCCAGGACTCTTAGGATTTGGTTGGTTGTTAATTTATCGTAATATAACTCTGTTTAATATGTTCAAGAAGGAAAAGACGGAATCTATTCAGTAGAGACAAGGGCTATAAAAAAAGACATAAATTGAAATTCTAGAAACAATACACTGGATGCTATAATAGCAGATTAGACCCTGCGGAAGAGGGTATAAGTACAAAAGTGACCATTGGAACAAAACCATGAACCTTCCTAAATACCAAGCATATTTAAATAAACCAGAGTAAAGAATGCACATCTTGTAGAAAAAGAAGCGCAGCAAATAAAGTACACATCATCATACTGGGTTGGCCAAAAAGTTCATCTGGCCAACCCCCAAAAATACCACAACAGAGCTGAGACCCAACACATCCATTACATCAATAAATGTGAGCAGGATTAACTCACTTATTAAAAGAATAAGACTTAGGCTTTGAGTAACAAAACTAGAGCCCAAATAATAATTCAGCTTCCCTTGTGCACACAAGAGATGTACCCAAACACATTTTTAGTTTTTTCTAAAAATAAAAGAGAGACTAAGGTGTATCAGAAGGACTGTGTCTGTATTATCTGTGTAGGCTTGATTCCTATTCAGTCAGCAACCCCATTTCCTGCTTAAACTCTCGACAATAAAATTTGCCTATGTGTTTTGCTCACAGTCTTCAACACTTCACCACATGCACATACCTCCGCAAGCTCTGGGAAGTGACCTGCCCCAGGCCACAAGGGTACCTTAGCCCCATCCTCTAAATTCATTCCTGCCAGCCCAGTGCCTCTTCCTCATGCCTGATCCTGAATAGCTATGACTTGGGCTACCATGGCTCCCCTTGCGGCTTCCGCCTGCAATGTGGGAGACCTGGGTTTGATCCCTGGGTTGAGAAGACTCCCCCCGGAGAAGGGAAAGGCGATCCACTCCAGTATTCAGTATCCCTAGGCCTGGAGAATTCCATGGACTGTATTGTCCATGGAGTCGCAAACAGTCAAACAGGACTGAGCGACTTTCACTTTCACTTTCTGGCACAAACATCTATTCAACGCACATCATGAGCCAGGCCTTGTGCTGGGCAGGGGACATGGTGAAGTGGAAGGTCCCTTGTCCTTTCAGGGGAGGCAGACAGCACAGGAAGTCAGTGCAGTGGTGGGACAGGACAGAGACCAGGCATGAGGCTTCTGGCTCCCTGTTACCCACACCCTGTGCGGGACTAGAAACTCCCTGGGGTGGACTGTCCCTTGATGTGGTCACCGCCTATAGCTGCTGTCACTAGATGCAAAGCCTCCTCCCATTAAGGGGCCTAAGGACTTCCCTGGTGGTCCAGTGGGGAAGGATCTGCCTCCAAATGCAGGAGATGCAGGTTCGATCACTGCTCGGGGAACTAAGATCCCATACACCACTGGGCAACTAAGTCTGCACACTGCAAGCAGAGAGACTGCACATCCCAACGAGAGAACCAGCATGCCGTAAGTAGAGAGCCTGCATGCCACTAGAGGATGCGTGCATCACAACCAGAGAGTGCATGCGCCGTAACCAGAGAGCCCGAACACCACAACTAGAGAATAGCACACACACTGCAACAGACACCAGTGCAGACAAAAAGAAAGAAAAAAAGAGGGAGGGAAGGGGTTGCTGAAGCCAAGTTTGGACCACAGGTCAGCCCAGAACACGAGGAGATGTGTGCGCACGGTGAAGGGGGCGAATGGGGGCCACTGGGCATCACCTCCAAAGACGCACTGGAGACCACGGGCAACACACAAGCGAATATTGCATGTTAAACCGTTCGCAGCAAACGGTGCTTCCTTTGAAAGACTGAACAGAAAATCAAGCCCAGTGTATATCCCCCTTGTCTCTGAACTGGATGAGGAGGCCTGGGATGAATCTGAGATGGCTCTATGACTTGCTCCAACTGCAGGGGTGATGCTTTGTGACATCACAGCCCAGGCCTCAAGGAGTCTTACGGTTTCCTCTTTACCCTCTTGGGAGCTAGCCACCGTGGAAGGCTCGGTCTAGACTAGTGACGGGTGAGCGATCTTGAAGAGTGGGAGGGCGGGGGATGGCCTCCCCGCCCTCTCTACCAGGGTCTCAGAGATGTAGGGGAGGCCACAACAGACCTTCCAATACAACCCAGCTGAGTGCAAGCTCAAGAGTGATCCAAGCTGACACCACATGGAGCAGAATAAATGCCCAGCTGCACCCGGCCACTCCACTGAATCGGGAGGAATAATACGTCACTGTTGTATTGAGACAGTACATTTTGGGGTGGCTGATTAGGCGGTAATGGATAACTGATACACGTCCCGGGGGCAGAGCCCTGGCCTTTGTCTAGCTCTCCCCTCCTTGCCTGGAGCCTGGCACTGGGCGTGCAATCCCAGAGCTGGAAGGAGCCTCCGAAACCACTGAGTCCTACCCCCTCATTTGAGAGAACAGGTGGCCGAAGCCTGGGGAAGAGAAGCAATTTACCCCAGATCACAAGAGACTAGAGGCTAAACACCACCAACACCAACAGGAGAGACGGGGCGGATCCAGGAGGCAGACTTGAACCCTGCAGGACCCAGGCAAGTAACACAAATGTGTGACGCAAGCTGATGGAGAGCTCCCCGCCCCCCCAGCCCGCGTTCACGTGCTCCATCTGAAGAGGCAGTCACTATTCGGCTCCAGCCAACTGTGGCCATGTGGGAATGTGGGCCTAGAGAAGCCAGATTGTCTGACTTCTCACAAAGCCAGAAACAGGATTTCTCTGTAAACTCTCCTGATTCTTACATGTTGGCTAGGAATTCAAATTGAATCGACGATCTCTGAGCCATCAAGACCCACCTTGGGCTTCAGGCAGGGTCTGGCCTCCAGCAAGTCGCCTTATTCCCCCAGGTCTCAGTTTCCTCATCTCTAAAATGGGCCCCATGGTTCCTGCCCACTTGCTGGGTTGCTGCGAAAACCCAGTGAGCTAACGGGTTTAGAAACACAAGCCACAAATGGCCCTGTGACTGTTCCACAGCCTCTGTTCTCTGTGGAGGCACCCCTCACAATGTAATGAGTTAACACCCGATTTGTCTAAGTTAGAACAACATTATTCTGACCATTATGACAGCGATTGCTTTTTTATGGCAGGTTTGTGAGTTCCAGAACCCTCCCACTTGCATTATCTCAGGATGTTGATGGAGTCAGAGGCTGGATGGCTGCCTTGGAGACCCTCGTCAGAGCCAAGCCTTTTCTCTGAGCTGGGAGGTACATTCCAGAGGCTGCTAAAAGGCAGTGGTGCAGAACAGGAGCGTCAAAGTCCTCCAGACCTGGGTTAGAATCCCTGCCTCCGGCTCCCTAGTTATGTGTCCTTGGGCTAGTCGCTTTCGGAGTTTTAGTTTCCACATCTGTAAAATGGGCACAATAATAAAACCACCAGGGCAGTTGTTGAGGTAGTTGCATGAGATGACATATATGGGGTTGGCCAAAAAGTTCATTTGGGTTTTTCCATAACCTCTTAATGGAAAACCCAAACAAATTTTTTGGCCAACCCAATACAGTGTCCTTAAGCAGAGCATCTGGCTGTTTTTATTATCACGTATGAAATTTGGCGTGAATTCTCTGGTAGCTCAAATGGTAAAGAATCTGCCTGCAATACAGGAGACCCAGGTTTAGCCCCTGGGGTGGGAAGACTAGAGGAAGCCCCTGGAGAAGGGAATGGCAACCCACTCCAGTATTCTCGGCCTGGAGAATTCCATGGACAGAGGCGCCTGGTGGGCTACAGTTCATAGGGTTGCAAAGAGCTGGACACGACTGAGCAACTAACATTTTCACTTTTTCATGGAAGTTGGTGGCTGGGAGGCCAAGGGTCAAGAATGAAGTCGCAGTGATAGAAGATCCTGTCCCTTTCCTGGGGTTAAGGGAGGCTGACTTGGAGTGGGGATGGGCTCTTGAGGAAAACGTGCATTGGAAGCAGAGAGGCAGGCTGCAGGGAACTGTCAACTACTCAGCAAGAGTCAGATAGAACTTAACTCGGTATCTTTGACTTTTTCCTGGGGTGAAGTGAAGAGGGATGGGGGGAGAGCTGCAGAGTCCTCGAGTAAAACGGCACTGACACCCCCTACCCCAAGTGCAGGTTCCCACTGGTTTTGAGAAATAACAGCCACAGCTAATATTTACTGTGCGCTCATCACATGTTAGATACACATTTAGTTACAAATGCAAATTCATCTTTTATGGACTAACCCATTCATTCGTCATAGCCACCTCAAGAACTATTATTATCCCCATTTTAGAAGTGAGGGAACCAGGGCTCAGAGAGGTTAAATAACCGACCAGAGGACACACAGTAAGGGACAGCCTGACTCCAGACATCCTTGTAACCCCTAGGCTCTGCTGTTTACGGAACAAGACAGAGAGTGGTCAGGGCTTGGCTAAAGGGCTCTGGGATTTCAGACAGGAGCAAGTGCTCCTGCAGGGAACGAGGGTGCTGACACCTCACAGTCCTGACAACGGATGAACACCAGCAGGGCTGCAAACCAGGCTGCTCTGCCGGCCGCTGTAGACAGGACCTCATCAAACCTTCACCACGAGCCTCCGGCAGGTGGTATCCCCAGTTAACGGATCAGCAAACTGAGGCTCAGACAGCGCACTGCTTGCTCAAGGCCACAGAGCAGACACAGTCTCTTCCCTGACGGTTCCCCCCTTCCCGAGGGGGCTGCAGCAGGGCTCCAGGTGGCTCCAGGAAGCTCCTGGGGCACAGCCCAGGCTAAGGTGGTCTAGGCAAGCCCCCCATGCCCCAGGTGATACAGAGGCACCTGGGAGACAGGTGTCTCCTCTCCACCCTCCGGAAGGCACCTGCTTTTAAAGGCCCTAAAACCCTAAAATGCTTTCAAGGCAGCCTTATCAGTTGATCCCAATCAGGAAGCTTCCAGGTGCTGTCAGACCAATGGCCCACCCCATCCCTGAGAGGTGTGCAAACATTCTGCCCTGCCCTGCCCTCCCCCCGCCAAGCCTCCTTCCATTGACCAGCAGGCCAGCGGCCTGGGCTGGTGAGCACCAACTCAGATTGACTTCACTTCGTTTCAGCCTTTCCCAGTTTCCCGCTGAGGTTTCTCTTGCTCTCCAGGAGTCCCTGCCTGCCCAATGGAAAGACCTGCCCAATGGAAAGCCCAATGGGAAGTGAGTTAAAAACTACAGATCCCCGGCCTCCAGCTGGATCTATCAAATCTCCAGCAAAGTCAGGCAGGCAGGCCAGGCCACAGGATGGGATGGGGCTTTGTTCAGAGGTGCAGGCCGGGTCCACCACTGCCAGGAGGCCCTCCTGGTCTCACCCCTCCACCTTCAGAGGGAGCAGAGTACCCCCTCCCTTGTCCAGCCCAGACCTCCTATCACCAGCCAGTTCCATCACCAGCCCCTTCCTTTATGGGTCTCTCTGCCTGCAGGGGTCTGACCTCCACCCGAAGCTCACAGGTAAGCTCTGCGCAGGCCAAGCTGACCAGCTGCGACTCTGGGCCTCGCGGAGTTCCCAGCAAGCTGCCCAGACAACCTGCCCCCACCCTGGCTTTGGGGCTGATGCAAAACCTTGATGAAGTGGAGGCGGCCAAAGGCATTAGGAAGGACAACCCCCGCCCCCTGGGAGGGTCTGGGGCCGTGGCAGGGCAGAGGGAGCTGGCAGTGGGGTCTCAGGGCCAACCAAGGATTCAAGCCCCCCCACTGGGAGCCTGGGTACGGGCTTGTGTTTTCACAACTGTTTTGAGAATCTTCTGAAAGCTAAGACCCTGCTTCCTAGGAAAATCTACGGTCACATCTGACATTCTATTATAATTTCAGGGTGATCCCGGAGTCCCATAACTAAGGCCTGTGGATCCCAGTTGAGAGCCCCTCTTCCAATTCCCAGCCACGGTAAGAAGCAAGTATTTTCCCCTGATAGAGCCCTGAAGAGAGAGGCAGAGATGGGGCTCTGGGCCTGCCCACACCTGGGGGGTCGCCATCCCAAGGCTGGGGCAGTTGGGAGTCTGTGTGCTGGGTTGGGGGAGACACTGAAGCTTGGTTTGTGGGCTGAACAGTCTGAATGCCAGAAAGAGAAGAGGTGAGTCAGGACACAGCCATCAGCGATCACAGGCGCTCACTCCAAGGATGAGGACTTTGGAGGGGCTGAGAACAGCCTCTCCACAGACAAGTACCTGACACTTCTCTTTTTTTTGGACTCTACTTTATATCGGGGATAGCCAATTAATAGTGTTAGGATAGTTTCAGGCGGACAGCAAAGGGACTCAGCCATACATATACGTGCATCCATTCTCCCCCAAACTCCCCTCCCATCCAGGCTGTGACGTAACATTGAGCAGAGCTCCCCGTGCTATATAGTAGGCGCTCGGCGGTTATCCATTTTAAACAAAGCCGCGTGTACAGGTCCAGCCCAAACTCCCTAACTGTCCCTCCTCCCTCTTCCTCCCCCGTCGTGTGCCTGACACTTTGTGTGGGTGTCCCCAGGAATCCCTGAGGAAATGGGAGTCCAGCTCCTCACCCAGGGCACACCCAGGGCGCAGGGCTGGGGGATTTGAACCCAGGTCTGATTGCCCAGAAAGGCCGCACCTTTTCTCTGCCCTGCAGCATCCGGGAAGTTGGCTGCCCTTGCTTCCCACTAAAGTCGGAATCCTTTCTCCCCACCCAGCACCTGACACGAAGGAGGTGCCTGGCGACTCTTTTAAAATACATGGATGGATGGAGGAATAAATGAGTAAGTCAACTTGCTTTTGAATTCTACAGCATTTGGGCTTTAAATCTAAGCCCTGATTTCCTGGCTAAGACGAATACATGAAAGCAGCCTCCTTTAAAAATGAGAAGCAGGAGAAATAAACATAAAAGGAAAACCAATTCTAAATTAATCCCACTGAAGGTCGCTGGATCTTAGATAGGTAATGCCCAAGAGGTGGGCCCAGGAGAGGGTTAGGCTGAGGGTGGGAGAGACGAGACGTATGGCGGGGCAGGGGCAGGCAGTCTCCCTCGACCCCTGTAAGGAGCGGACTTGCCTGGCACAGAGCTGCCGCTGGTCCATTTGAATCCTCCGCTCTGGCTGAACTGATCTCTTTATTATCCCCAAACATCTTCCTGCATTCTGTATCTCTGCTCACATCTGCCCTCTGCTTCTCCCTCAGGGAAGACTTTCTTCATCTCCCCAGCCAGAGGGACTCCCTCCTTCGTCTCTGTATCATTCTCCCGACACTGACTGTATAGCGCAGTATAATATACGCATTCATTTGTTCACTCCGCACTCATTCATTCATTCAGCGTTCCTTAGCTGATTATATCTTTCAGTTGCCGGGCGCCGGGTGCCTGGGTTCGGTTCAGGGCACCGGGCTGCCGCAGCAAACAGGACAAGTAAAAACCTCGGGACTTCCCTGGCAGACCAGTGGTTAAGGCTTCAGGCTTCCACTGTGGGTGCCATGGGCTTGATCCCCAGTGGGGGTGACGAAGATCCTGCAGGCCGTCGTCTAGTGTAGCCAGAAAATAATAAAATGTTTTAATTTTAAAAAATAAATTCAGAAAAACCCTCTCGTCTCTTGGAATGTACAGTCGAGTGGGCAAGATGGACACTAAACAAGGAAAGCAACAAGGCTCCGATGCCATTTCAGGTGGCAATGTGTATTCTGAAGTTTGATGAAATGGGAGGGACAGAAAGCGTCTGAACTGAGTCTGTGTTAGATGAGGTAATCAGGGAAGGCCTCCGGGAGGCAGCATTTGAACAGAGCTCTTTTTACTACTGGGCTTCCCTGGTGGCTCAGAGGGTAAAGCATCTGCCTGCAATGCGGGAAGACCCAGGTTTGATCTCTGGGTTGGGAAGATCCCCTGGAGAAGGAAATGGCAACCCACTCCAGTATCCTTGCCTGGAAAATTCCATGGATGGAGGAGCCTGATGGGCTACAGTCCATGGGGTTGCAAAGAGTCGGACATGACTGAGCGACTCCACTTTCTTTTTATTACCACTGTGGACACAAAACTGAGGGAGCTCACAGCCTAGCAAAGAACAGACAAGCTGGCCTTTTCCTTACTGTGCAGGACAGGTTCTAGCCCATCTGAACATTCCCACACACTGGAAGTCAGTGATCTTTCCAAAAACAAATCTGGCCAGGTCTCCCGTGGCTCAAGAACCTTTAGTGGCTCCCCAATGCCCTAAGCATCGAGTCCAGACTCCTAAGCTTTCCATCAGAGCCCTGCCGTCCATCCTCAGCCCCATCCCTCTTTGCTGCCGTTAACACCCATCTCCCTCAGATACACCCAAGTATCACACACCAATCATCATGTCTCTGGGTCTTTACACACGCTGTTCCTTCTTCCAGGCCAAAACTTTGCCTCCTCTAAGTCCCAAAGTCAACCTCCTTTGCTTTTTGGGAACACAGTTCATTAACATGACAGGTGGCTGAGAAAGTTTCGTGGCAGGGAGAACGGGAAGTAAGAAAATGAGGCAAAGAATAAAGCTATAAATGACAAAGCAACTGGCTTCCATCCTAAACGGCTGCTGCTCCCCAGGTGGTGCACGGCTTCCTCCTGGCAGGACCCGGGGCACACTTATCACATTGCACCTTGCCAAGGCTTCCCTGTCAGTTTGTCCCCCGTCTCCCTGCCCGCCCCAGGGCCCAGCACCACACCAGGGAGAAAAACACGCCCCATAAATATGTGGAAAGCGAAAGAACGAATGTACGGGGACTTCTCTGGCAGTCTTAGTGGTTAAGGCTTTGCCTTCCAATGCAAGCGGTGCCACTTCAAGCCCTGGTAGAAGAGCTAAGATCCCACGTCCCTATGGCCAGAAAACCAAAATGTACAGTGGAAGCAATACTGTAACCAATTCAATAAAGACTTTATAAGTGGTCTATATTAAAAAAATCTTAAGGAAAGAAAAGAACAAATGTACAAAGGACATGGGTTTTCTCTGGTCCGGGCCTCCCTGGCGGCTCAGCTGGTAAAGAATCTGCCTGCAATGCAGGAGACCTGGGTTCCATCCCTGGATTGGGAAGATCCCCTGGAGAAGGGAAAGGCTACCCACTCCAGTATTCTGGCCTAGAGAATTCCATGGACTGTATAGTCTATGGGGTCACACAGAGTCAGGACTGAGCGACTTTCACCAGCAGCTGGTCCACCATTGGCCTCTTCTCCTGTTGGACACAACCCTGGGGGCACTACCATCCTCTCAAAGCATCCAGATGCTCCAGACTTAGGTTTCCTTTGGGAGGGGCCTCATGGTCTGGGGAGATACTAAGCTGGCCATCCCCATGCTGTGTGCTAAGTCACTTCAGTCGTGTTTGACTCTTTGCGACCCTAAGAACCATAGCCCATCAGGCTCCTCTGTCCGTGGGATTCTCCAGGCAAGAATACTGGAGTATTTCCTTCTCCAGGGGATCTTCCCCCACCCAGGGATCAAACTTGCGTCTCTTACGTCTCCTGAATTGGCAGGTACCACTAGTGATACCTGGGAGGCCCAACCTAGCCGCCCCCTCACCCCCAAAAACTGCACACATCCTCTCTCCTGTCTCAAAGGCTGGGAATTTCCTAGACCTTAATGCTCAGGACAGCATGGTTACTACTGGGGAGGAGGAGGAGGACAGGCCAGGAGTGGTGGCTGCACTTCTCTGGGTATCGGGAGCCCCGAGGGCTGCCCCCTCATCACCCCGGGCTTCAGGTCTCCTTCCACAGACTGTCCTGCTCCCGGGAGGCTCCCGTCTCTTCTGGGTTGTGTCACAAGCAGCAGTGCCCATCTTCCATCCCCCAGAGGCCACACAGATCTTCAAGGTGACTTCTTCCCATCCATTATCTGGTCTGAATCTCACAGACTTGCCTGTGAGACAGGCAGGACCAGCGTGATTACCCTCACTTGGCAGATGAGAACACTGAGGCTCAGGGAAGGCAAGGAGGGTGCACGTGAATCCTAGGAGGCTCAGGTGAACATTCTAGACTCAGGGAAACTGAGCTCCCTGTAGGGCAGGGAGCTGGTCCAGGGGTCCCCGAGTAAGTGAGAAGCCAGGCCTCTGACCTCCACCTCACACCATCTCCCCCTCCGTTAGGCCAGCTCCTTCTTAAGGCCTAACGGACTAGACTCCAGAGTATCCGGGGAGCAAAGAGACTGAAGCAAGGTTCGGGATGCCCACTGCAGCCCGCCTCCCAGTCTGCCCCCAAGTGGCAGCCCATGCCGCCACGCCCTTCTGGGACGTCAGCAGCTGATCAGCCCTGTGTCCCGGGCCCAGGGTCCGCTCTGGTCAGAGCTCCCCAGATTCTGACCACCCCCCGCCCGGGCCAGGCCTGGACAGATGTGGCCCTTCCATCTACTCCCCCCTCCCCCCCCCCGGTAATTAAAAACACACCGAGGGCCTTTTCCAACGCGAGAGGGGCCAATTTTCTTCCCCTCCAGCACCGCTGACTACAACCCAAAGAGCAATATTTATGCCAAGCTCCCCATAATACTGTAAACATCCCAACGCATAGCGGGCCGACGCATGAGTCATTTCCCCAAAGCCAGAGCTAATAAGTGGTACCTCGGCCCTATTCCAGGGAGCTCCCGCCAGCAGCCAGGTCTCAGGGCTGCCCTGCACGCCCAGGGCTCGTGGCACCCTGGTGCCCCAGGAGCCCCACGCCGGGAAACCTCAGGCAGCCGTCAAACCCTCCAGGAGCCTCGGGACAGCTGCTTCCGTGCCAGAACCTATGGCTGCCATCCAGGGACACCCCTTCCATCCCCTGAACTGCGGTCACTAAAGCACTCATCACTGAGAAACTAAAGTTATCGCATGGGATCCCCCATCCGTCCTTTCCCAGAGTCTGCAGGCTCCATGCCTGGTTCGACTGGGTTATTTTTGGGTTTGGTTTTATGGGGTTTTTTGAGCTGCAAGAGGGAAGGGGACTTTGCATCACCC